GCAGGACAAATGCACTCATCTTTTGCTTGATTATACTTCATAGGTAGACCTTTACTATTAATAAGTCTCTCATTTTCACCATACAGACATAAAATCTGGGGGATAGTCTGACAGTTTTTATTTCTATTTCTAAACACTTTACATTTATCCATTTGGAAATACAAATTTTACAAACTCAAACGGAAGCAAATTTGAAGGCAATACAACCCATTTCCAATAATCCAATCCCATATTATACTCTCAAATTTCTAGGACATCTACATGAACAAAGATATCAAAAAAGAGTGACAAATACATTCAATGCTCATGTTTTCAGAATACCATTTAGTCAGATATGTTAATATCAAAGCCACACAATTACTAGTTTTAGCTATCAGTTATAAAAGGAAGATCTATGTAAACAGTTGATAAGAAATTAAGAAAACAAATGGAATCTACAGCTCTTTAATGAAGTATATAAAGTTAAGCGCTAAGTAAAATCTCAATTCAGAGAAGCACCTGTATAACGAGATAATGTAAGATAAAGCCAATACTAACAACTCAAATTATGAGCATTTCTGTTAGAAACTTATCTAAGAAAATTTGTTAGCATCCGTATTCCTAAACTTGTGGCAAATTCACCTTTCTAGTAAGATTAAAATACATACTTGACACAGACCTTTCATAGATTTTCACATTAATATTGAATTAAAAGAATTAACTGAATAGAATTCTACTACAATTTTAGAGATGTGATTCTATTAACTCAGTGAAATAAAATTCACTTTTCTCTTCTGACAACTTCTCCTTAATGCGAGGAATAGGGAAGGAGTGGGCAAAAGAAATATGAAGTATCTGAATATAAAATTCTTCTTGTGCTGACTAAAACATATTATATAAAATTCTGCTTATTGGAGATATTTACAAAAACTCCCTTACTACCACAACATTTGGTATTTCCTTCTTTCTACCTGTGGACATAGTACTTACCTCATTTTAACTAAAGTCTTTCATTACACTATATATAAAACATACAGGACTGTTGCTCTAGGCAGTTCACTATGGAAATAAACTTCGCCACAAAGAAAACTCATCTTTGCCCCCCAAATTTCACAAACAAATTTTTTCAAATTAAGCTGTTTATGTGATTTAGAATTTCCTCTGAGGATTAAAACAAACTACCACAGAAGGCAAATTAGTAAATTTGGATACCATATATGGCACACGTCCGCCTTTTTGGTTATTAGGTTTTCTTTAAACAATGCTAACTAAATATTCATTCAAAACATTACTTATTCAAAATGATCTAGTTTACAAACTACAACAATGGTAGTATATTTCACATTGAGATGAAGGTGAGAGCAAGGTGACTCACATTGGCATTGAATTTTCTTTTAACAGGGAACATTAATCATTTGTAAACAAAACCTATTCTTAAACCACAATGAGCAAAAACCACACTACACATCCATTCAAGGGATTACTTCCTATCCTCTGTCACTTCAATTAAGATAGCCATGTAGTAAGATACTGCAAATACTAAAAGCAAGGAAACTCAGAGCAAAAGAAGAGAGAACTAGCATATCCAGATGAAGCAGAGCAGTTAGGATATATGGGAAAACACAAACACAAGGCTGGACAATATGAGGCAGAACTCAGATGACTTAAGAGTTGCAGAAATAATTTTTAAATATCATTTCCACCAGTATCATTCATTAATTAAAGATAACTTAATTTTCACATTAGCCTCTAAGTAACACTACATCTTAAAGACATGAAACATCTTAGCATGTAAGAAAAAACTTTTTATCTTTTGGCTTCCCTCCCCCCCCAATTAATGAGAAACTATCAATTAAAGACTGCGAACGAAGCACCCTAAATCTTGTGCAATGACAACACCAACTTAAAACATAATATATATGGGAAAAAAGCAATCTTACCAAAAATGTGGTTATTTAATTCATATCTCATACAAGATGCTTAAAATTTTTATCAAAGAAATGGATATTGATTTGAAAATATGTAAAACCTCATGGGAGGAAATGCATGAATAAGAGTATTTTAAAAAATAATCTGGATTCATCACTCTTTGTACACAAAGAAAAACTGAATCAACAGAAATTTGCTGTGTGGCATTTTTCCAAACAAGTAATAAGAGGAATGCAATCTAAAAGAAAATAACTCAACCATGAAAGTAAAATTATTTCTATAAGAAGTGTACAATCTTAAAACACTGAACTACTTGTGTTTTGCTCAGAGTGGTCTGAGAATAGAGGCAGCAATTACAGAATATGAAATACAGTGTATTTACATACTGAAAATTTACAATACTGGTATTCCCATTAAAATATCACCTACTTGAACTTAGATACTGAATGCTTTCAGAAAATTAATACATATTTTAAATGAGAGAATGCAATTAACATTACCAACAATTCAAACACAAAAAAAAATTAAGATGGGACAGACAATAACAGCTTACCAACATCATTAAGTTTCCAGTTAAATTAAGAACTTGCCCTTTTATAGCCATTCATCAATTTAATAATAAATTACATTACTGTTTTATTTATATACACGCTTGCTTACTGACATTCACGTTAGCTTCCAAGTTACTTGTATTCCATTTAGTCCGTTTAAGATTTACATGAAAGCTCAAAAGGACTCATATTTTAAAACTTCTAAAAAGGTCAACAGACCCTATTATGGTAATAATTAAATGTGCAGGTTTGTTTGTTTAAAAGTTTTTCACTTGAATATATTTAATCCTAGACCCCACCCCTCTGATTCACAACTACATCCGCAATAAATACTGTTTGGTATTGCAAAGGTACAGTAATCCAGGATAACAGAATTTTTTGCTCTAGAAATGCTTATGTAAATTTTTGCTTGGATGAAGGCACATAACAATATTACAACTCAATTCTGATTAATGTACAAACAAAACATGGGAATTCTGGTATGGTACACATCAGTGATTAAGAAAAATGTCAACAATAGTTTGCAAGTTAGGAATTCATAGTTAATGTCTGAATGTAATGAAACTCAAGCCATGGTATAGTTAGGTGTGCCCATTACTGGAATGTAATGTTAGTTAATTCAAAGTATTTAAAATTAACAATGGACTTTTCAAGGAGTTTACTTGGCTGACTATGCTAGTTTAACTAAAACCAGGAAGAAACTAATTAACTTTGAGTCTAATCTGGTTCAGAAGTCCTTGATGGGCACATCCAATCTTGGAGAAGACTAAAGATGTATGCAAGCTTTGCTTATCATGCCTTCAGGAATTAGAAGCTTGTTGAGAACTAACAAAGTCTAAGTAAAAGCGTAACTTCTTTGTAGAAACTGTATCTTACTATAAGTGAAATGGTTGATACAATTAAGCATTTCAAGTAATAAATTGGCTATAATTCACCTTAAGCAACAGATGGACTGAGAATTTTTTCATAATATGGTATTAAGATCTATTCCGGCCAAGGGGGAAAAAAAACTACATTTTTAAAATTTAGTGTTTAGATTTACATGACACAACACTTAATCCTTACATCCAAAAGCAATATTAATTTCAATAAGCCCAGTTTTAAAAGTGAAAGATGCTTTGGCTATTAATGTTTCGAGATTTTATTAAGTTCTATAATACCATACATGGAAAACTATTTTAAAATTAACGTTTTGATAAATATTCAAGATGCATACTCAAAATGCTAGAAAAGTATTTAAACTGGTCTTTTCACTTCAAAAAGCCCTTAATATGTAAATAATGTAATAGCTTACATACCATAAAGACTTACATGCTTATTTTATAAATTGTATTATTTAAAAAGGATCTCATTTGCTAAAATATATCTATTAAAGAAAATGCTATTGTCACAGAATTACATACACTTTTAGTCTTTCATTCTGCCCATAACAATGTAAATACTAACAACTGCATGAGTAAATTTTCAGTGTTTCCCATGACTATGGAAAATAATTGTGTAAAGTGCAGTTACCTATAAGGGGTTTGTTTTCACCTAATTTAATTTGGATATGCCACCAACACATAAAGAAAAAGTTTTTGTTTACAGAATAAACTGTGTCACATGCACAAACCTTATAGTGCCTTGCCCCTACTTTTCACATGAATAAATGCTGTTCACAAATATAAAAATAAAATTACACGTGAAAATGAAGTATAAACAGACAACTTCCCACTTTATGAAAAATGTACACAAGAAATAGTTTTAAAATACAGAAAAAAAGACACAATGATTATGATTTATGAATGAAACATCAAAGAAAATTATTTCAAGGTTATTCTAACCTGGGATGCATGATTTGATACAATTTAAAATTCTTAGATATGGAGTACCCTGAACCCGTTTTAATTAAGTTTCGTATCTTCTTTGCAAATTAAAGGATATGGTTTTTTTTATTTTAAAACAAAAATTATATGCCAGGAAAAATGTCTTTTCTAAGGAATACTTTTTTAAGTACAAAAGCGCTTTCAATGCTAAGAAATCATCCTTCTGTATTATAAACTATTATAGTGTTAGGTTTTCTTCAAAAGTTTTAGGGACAGAGTTAGTTCAAGGAGAGAAACTTTCAATTTAAAAGCCCAAGCACATTTTGTGTGTGTGTGTGTGTGTGTGTGTGTGTGTGTGTGTGTGTGTGTGTGGATTAACTCCTTGTATTTTATATTTCAAATTACATGCAAACTATGTATGTAATTATGACAATTCCCATTTTTAGATTTTAGAAGTAGACATGAGTCCTCTTGATTATTTTCTTGCTAAAGCAAGGCCATTAACAATCTAAAAGTTTGAATTCAGCAATATTCAAGGGTAAAAGGTCAAATTTTTTTTTTACCTGTCATTACTTACCTGTCATTTCTCTGAGAGGTTTCCAGAAGATTAAATTCAGAACAAGTAGTTGGACCATTTAAAATGTAGGTATATACTGTATAAACAATAGCCTTGGAGTTATAATTACTGTTAACAACACATATGCTACATATAACAGGAACAAGAAATACCCACCTTCTAACGATGACGATACTCCCGTTCTCGGTCACGTTCTCGGTCCCGGTCTCGGTCCCGGTCCCGGTGTCTCTCTCGTTCTCTGCTTCTCTCTCTATAATAATCATCATGACGATCTCTACTACGGGATTTATGACGCCGACTCTTTTCTCGTGATCTACTATGGTCCCTCTCTCTTGATCGTTCACGTCTTCTAAAAGAAATTACTGGATTAATGCTCTCTGTAAGTGGATAGCAGTATTTACTACCTAAAGCAAAAAATTCCTTGTAAATCTAGTTTAGACTTAGGATATCCTGAACTTCCAGTAATGACTTACTGACTCACCTGTAAGCATGAATGAGAAATCCCATTTTTGGAGCGCCTGGGTGGGTCAGTTGGTTAAGCAACAGACTCTTGATTTTGGCTTAGGTCATGATCTCACAACAGTGGGATCAAGCCCCATGTCAGCCTCCGTGCTGAGCATGGAGCCTGCTTAAGATTCTCTCTCCCTCTCCCAAAAACAAACCAACAACCCCCCCCCCCCCCCCCCCCCCACCACACAAACAGAAATTTCAATTTTAAAAATATTCACCCCCAAGTTGGGATCCAGACACACCAGGGCAATACATCTTATCATCTATTACATCTAATAGCCTGCATCAGACATGTAGTGTTTACTGAAGGAACACAGAAAGGTAAAGGGAGAAAACAACTTCAAAGGACAACTTGTTTCAAACTTAAGACTGCATAGAAGATAGTTTTTTTAGGCATAAAATTCATGAAACTATTCAATACACAATGAGATAAGTATATAAAATTACCACCCATTAACAGGTTACCTAAACCTATATGTAGTATCAAATTTAGACTTATAACTAACCCAAATATGATTTACCATGAGTGCTACTCCACTAAGAAATTTTTTTTAATATTTTAAGTTTTTATTTATTTATTTTGAGAGAGAAAGAAAGTGCAAGTGAGGAGGGGCAGAGAGAGGGAGAGAGAATTCCAAGCAGGCTCCGCACTGTCAGCACAGAGCCTGATGTGGGGCTTGAACTCAAACTGTGCGATCATGACCTGTGCCGAAATCAAGAGTCAAACACTTAACTGACTGAGCCACCAAGGTGCCCCAGAAACTTTCTAATAATATATATGTTTGCTTCAGGGGTGGAGGCAGCTGGAAGGCATGGTGGGAAACAGAATTCAAAACTTAGTATTTATGACCACTAGAAAAGACTGGGAAATAATTCACATTGTTATTAAAAAGAAACGTTTTATGAGCTACCTTCGAAAAAAACAAACAATAAAAATGAGGTAATTTAATCAAAGTATGTTTCCTAAAATACTTTTAGAAATTCTGCTAAGTTCTGAAATTCACAAAAAGGAAATCCAACTGCCTGTAAGTCGAACCATCTATTTTGTATTTTTGTAACAGACAGCTAGACTTAGCAAACATTATTAGATGCTAAGCTCCTTGATCAAGAAAGCAATTCTTACTTAGGACTTAAAAAATTAAAAAGAGGACTAGGTAAGATATGGACTTTAGCTATGACACATTTGTTTAGATACAAAGATCCTTACTTACACTGGGTCATGAAGGTAGTAATTAAGAAGTTGGGTATCATGACAAAGACAAGCTCCCTTTATCTTTTTTTTTTTTTTCCCTTCCCTTATCTTAATGAAGACTCTAACACTGGAGTACACTAAAGACAGACCTATGAATATTACATAACGATTAAAGATCTACCTTTCAAATATATGCAAAATTTCAAGGTTAGCTGCACTGCTAAAAAAAAGGAATTACCTAATTAGAAAATATGAACAGATCATTAACTTCCTTGTTCAAGAAATATTTATTTAACACCCATCTTGTACCAAACACTGTTTAGTCATTAGAAATACTGTAGTGAACAGGACAGGTAAGGCCCTTCCCTTTTCCAACATGTGTTCTAGAGAAGAGAAATGTGCAATAAAAAATAGATTACCATAAGTACTATAAAAGAAATAAAAAGAACAACATGACAGAGTAACCTGGAGAAGATCTCTCCTGGAAGTTAGACTGAGTTGAGGCATGAAGGATAAGAAGTCAGCTTTGTGAAGAGTGAGGAAAAAGGGCTCCCAGCAGAAGGAATATCAAGTATAGAAAGTGTGGGGTGCCTGAGTGGCTCAGTGAGTTAAGTGTCTGACTCTTGATTTTTGGCTCAAGTCATGATCTCACAGTTCGTGGGTTTGAACCCTGAGCCTGGCTCAACACTGGTAGTGCAGGGCCTGCTTGGGATTCTCTCTCCCCCTCGCTGCCCCTCCCCCACTCACGCATGCTCTCTCTAAATAAATAAATAAATAAACTTGAAAAAAAAAACGGTATAGAACAGTGACGTGGTAAAGAGCTAATGTATCAAGGAAAAGAGAAGGGAGACCATTGTGACTACAGAATAGTGAGCAAGGAGTAAAGTACACAATGAGGCTTCGAAGACAGGCAGGAATCACACAGTGCCTGAATGTTTACAGTCTTATTCTAAGAGTAACCAAAACTTCTTGAAGGGTTTTATTTTTTTTAATGTTTATTTATTTTTGAGAGAGAAACAAAACACAAGCTGGGGAAGGGGAGAGAGAAAAGGGAGACAGAATCCAAAGCAGGTTCCAGGCTCCAAGCTGTCAGCAGATAGCCCGAACTGGGGCTTAAACCCATGAACCATGAGATCATGATCTGAGCTAAAGTTGGACACATGACCAACTGAGCCACCCCAACGCCCCTTTTGAAGGGTTTTAAAAGCAAACACCTGACATTTGATTCAATATTCAAAACAAAAGAAAACAATCTAACTCTAGCTGCTATACGAACAGTAATAAGTAAAATCAAAGTCCTATTTTAAAGTTTCAAACACGGTATTTTTTCTATCTGTAACATAATAGTTTTAAATAGACATGACACAGGAAAGTTTTACCTTGATCCAGAACCATAAGACTTGGATTCAATTCCATGAAGGCAATCTTGCAAAGAGCTAATAAGAACTTTGCAGCGATCATCAGCAGATACTTTGGATTGTTTAATTAAAGAAATTGCAGTTACCAATGTCTCAATAGCACTCCCATAATCACCTATGAGGCAAAGGAGAGGGGTTGAAATGAAATAAATTTTGTTTCCAAAATACCCCCAAATCATTTGGGATAAAAGTGATAAAGTATTTTATAAAAGAAGAACACTAAAGTAACTACAGAAGACATCTTCATTTCTTTTTTAAGGGCTTCACCATTTGTAAAAAGCTTTTATGTGAGTAAAATTAGCACAGTTTGTTTATTATTACAGACATGTGAAGCACAGGTTATTAATTTGTAAATATGAGAATCAGTTGCCTTAAGGTCCCCAACACATTACATGTCAGGACTAAAATTTAAATCCATATATAAGAATTTAAAATTATGGGTCTATTCACTGCACTGTGACACATCACTTCCCTCAATTTCTTTTAAATAAATACAGGTAATGATTTGGAAATATGAACATAAATGCTAAATATAAATTACCAGTCTTCAAGATTGCACATAGTTTTAGGTCATTCCTAGTAACATAAATAAGAAATATTAATATAGAAAGAAATATACAAACCAGCACTGGCATCAGACACAGCTCTTGAAATAGCACTGCTTGAGATTGCCCTATTTCTATTCATGATTTCTTCAAACTCAGCTTCACTCAATGGCGTTCTTGCAGTATCCATTTCCCTTTAAAATAAAAATGAACCTTAAGTTGCACTCAACAGATTTTTCAGTTAGTTGTAACAGTATAAAACAATTCATACTAGTTGCTTGTGACAAGTGTCTTAGAGCTAGTAGTTACTTTTCCAGACTGAAGCATGCTATTTACCTTACAGAGAGAGCAAGTCTAAGCAAAATTCTTCAACACTACCTTTCAGCTGAAATAAAGTAGCAGCTTGGAAACCTTGTCTTTCTGGAGATCAGGGATAATGTATTTACAGATCTATAATATTTTTCAGTCATACAAAAACATACATAATAAACGGTCCTGAATGTTATAACATAAGGTAGTTATACATTATTAGCTCTTTTATTTATATATACATACATTTAAATGTTGACAGCAAAAACTACAGCCCTACACAATCAAGGAATTTGGTTACATTTCTGTTTGGATCCTCTAGGCACAGGGCCCAACTCACAATAGAAGGATAACAAATGTCTGATTAATTAAAAGAACTTCAGGCGGGGACAAGATCTTAGATCATCTTGTTTGCCACTGAATCCCCAGAAGAGTATCTGGCAAATAAAAGATAGTAAGTGTAAACATTTGTTGGAAAAAAGTGAATTAAATGCCAAAACTTTCTAAAGCTGCTGGACAACTATGAAAACTGTACATGTACATTACATGTCGACTATACTTCAAAAAAAAAAAAACAACTGTACATGTACAGTACAGGAAAAGGTAAGCGTTCTTCCATCTTAGTTACTAGTTACAAGGTAGGACACTGAGTTGAGGGAAGCAGCAGCAGTTCATTCCAATACAATGAGGAAACAGCTAATCTAACTTTTTACATGCTTTTAAGGTATTACTCTCATTCCCAAAACTTTATAGACATCCTGACCAAATTAGAAGTTGTTCAAAATCCATGTATAATTTCAACTAAATGCTGTGACTTGTGCCCATTCTATCCCTCTTAAAAAAAGAAATCTCATGTAAGAGGAGTTTTCTCCAATTTTCAATAAAAAATTAGTCATAAATAACCATCACCCTCCAATTCTTGAAAACCTAATACTATCAAAATTCTACTATGTTAGGAAAAAGATACGAAACTCAAATTTTATAATCAAACCAAGTCACCTAACCCACGCCTGTCCTCTAAAGGTGAACACTTAATATGAAGTCACTAACTGGAATTAAAGTGAACAGAAGAAATTATACTAGCCCAGTAGTTATTTTCTAAAGAAAACAGAGCCATTTTTGGCAGTCATAAAGATGCAACCTCTATGAACAGATAATGGTTAATGTGCTTTGTTTACAACATCAAATTTATTGCCATATGCCTGTGCAACTGCATGGAATTAGGCAGATTCTCAAATCCATTCCTTCAGGACATTTTCAGACAAAATAAAGTACAAAGTAGTTTAACAGTGATAGTTTAAAAATATAAAATCAAATGACAAACTCAGAAGTAATTAAAGAGGGCAAATTCAAATGGCTCTTAGAGATTATAAATACAGCTCTCTAAATTATGTTTTGAGTATGGATAGTTTTTAAATTACTCTGGAAGGGGGCTAAGAGATCATTTACTTCAATAATGGTTTAAAAAAAAAAAAAAAAAGAAATAATGGTTTTCACCTAGCTCTTCTCCAAGGATCACCATTAATTACTTTAATTTCCACAACTGTGTTTTACAAGTGTTTGTCTACCCAAATATACTTGTGTATCATTTAATGTTTCCATTTCAATTAAAAGTTAGTAATTTGATAGTCGGGACTCCTGATCAGCAACGAGAATCAATAGTACCTATCCAACAAATTGATCGAATTCCTAAAACGAAGAAGGAAACTTTAGTACTCTGAGTAGTATCATCAAAGGTAAATGAGATTCACTTTAAAATCTTAAAAGTAGCTTGAGGATCCCATTTGCTCACTTAAATTATCTTTATTACTATCTTTATTAACCTCTTTTAACTTAAGAAATAATGGAAAGGATCTCCATGAATTAGTGACTTGCTCTAAATCACACATCTATGTAAGTGGTGGAAGGGGATTATTCCCAACGCTGTTTAGTATGTTTTCATCATATGATACTGCCCCTTCTAAGAAGAGCAAACAATATAGAAAATGAAGTATCTGGGGAAAAGCCCATAATTAAAAAACAAAAACAAAAACAAACCTCGGCGATGAAACGTAGAGTATTTTTTACCGATCAAATAACACACCAAGTCTACTGTCATGGATACATACTGACTTACCTGCCAGGAGGCCCATAGTCACCCCTATCATACGGTGGAGGTCGGCCATATGGATCTGTTGGTGGTGGACCCCGGCTATCTGATGTAGGCATGCCGCTGTTAGTCGGTGGAGGAAAGAAAGCCGGGTTCACATGTGGAGCTGGTGGTGGGGCACCTGGAGGTGGTCCAGGAAGATGCGGAGGAGGAGCAAGAGTAAGGGGTGGCCCAAGAGGACCAGGTGGGCGAGGTGGAAAGGGGCCTGGAGGTGGAGGTGGTCCCTGTTGTGGAGGTGGTGGACCAGGAGGGGGGCCGTAGCCCGGAACTGGAGGTGGAGGGCCAGGAGGAAGCGGACCCAATGGAGGCTGCCCAAAAGGTTGTCCAGGAAAAAGAACTGGTGGTGGTGGGCGATCTCCTCGATTAGGAGGCCCAGCTAGAGGAGGAGGCAGAACCTGACCAGGAGGTGGAGGACCTGGTGGACCAGGTGGGCCTGGAGGACCTAAGGGTGGACGTGGTGGAGTCTGTCCAGCTATAGAATAGAGGAGAGAGAAGGAGAGAGAAAAAACCACTTCAATAAGGTATTTTAACCTTAATGCCAAGATTATACTTTTAAAACACAACTCATAGACCAAGATTCTTTCTCTTTAAATGAAACCCATATGGTAAATGCTACACTAACAACTATGAAAGTGAAGTACATCTTTACAATTTTAACCAGCTCAATTTATGCTTAAGAAAAATTATTGAAACAAAAAACGTTAATAAACATTACAATGCTTAGAGATAGTTTCCATCTTTCAGTGTACACACACTTCTTACAGTGAAATCACCCACCTTATATTCTACTCTGATGCCAAGCTAGAAAGTGAAACAAGGAAAAATGGTCTTGAAAGGATTTTTTAAGAGGTAAGAAAATAAGACGGATGTAAATATTCTATATATAAGTCAAGCAAGTTTGGAGAAAAATAAAGACCTTTTAGGCCAAAAATGGGTATTTCCTCTATGCTGTGCCCCATATGCCATGGAATCCTAGTTTCCAGGAACAAAGGCCGAGTTCCTTTAACAAGATGCTTGATCAAATTTCCTGGATTCCAAAAATAGCATAACAAGGAGAGTAAGTCACATTAATAATGCATTACTTGAAAAAGAGAGAAAAGGAAAAGAGGTATTAAGGTAGACACATTTTATCCATGGTAATTTAAGAAAAATTTTACCTGGAAAAGGTGGGGGTGGCCCTCCTGGTCCTGTTGGTCCAGGAAATCTGTCCCCACCGGGAACAGCCCCTGGAAAACGGCCCCGTCCTCTACCACCTTGTGGAAATGCTGCACGTGAACTGCCTCCTGGAGGACCAGCTTTACCTTCCCCAGACATTTGTCCTGATTGTGTAGCTGTAAATATCCAAATACTCATAAATAGCATTTATTAAAATAGTCCTCTGAAATGTAACCACTGTTATTTAGAAATAACTCTACTTCAAAGTTCACATATGCTATATACTAACTTGCAGATGTCTTGGGCCTGTCCAAACTACATGAGAAGTACTGGATGGAAACATTCACATCTACTTAAGTTCTTTTGAAGTCTCAAAATATCCAGAGTTAAATGTATTTCCAGTGGGTAAATATGAGTTACTTTCAAAATACCAATACTCAGCAGCAGCCAAGACTAAAATTCTCCAACACAAATCTGAATTTCAGTAAGCACAGATTATTTAAATTTCGTATCATATTCTTCAGTTAAGTCTTAACTGCTAAAACATTAAAAGAAAAACAGCCACTTCAATTTGTTAATTACACGATTATCCACCTTATCTCTTTAAGTGAGAGCATTTCTAAGTGTTGTTAATGGCCAATCTTTTCTATATTCACTTTACCAAGTGGTGAAAGATCTTGGTGCCAAGCAGAAAATCAATGAGTATTTTCTGGTTATCAGTGGTTTCTCCCCCACCATAACACACATCCACGTAACTTCCCTTCAATCTAAAGCTTAGAATGTAGTTTCTTCCTTTCTCTAGGATGGGAATGACAGGACAAGACTGGCAGAGCTATAGAACTTGCACACTGTTGTATAATATTGGGTCTGTGACATCTAGAGAAAAATGGGAGTAAGTTTCCAGTATATAGGACCATAGCCATAAACCAGTAATCAAATCAAATTTAAGGGATAAACTTTCTAAAATGGATTCTCCAATGAACTAAACATTAAAATGACTTCTCTAGTGTAACATCTAACAAATGCTAGCAACATTGGCTAAAAATGCACATCTTTTAATAAAGGCCTCTGAGGAATTGCTTACTTTTCCTGGACTGCATTTCAAATTGACTCAGGAACTGTTTATTGCATGGAGTTACAACAGGATTCTGACCATGAAGTTCTCTTTTAGGCAACAGATCCATTAACTTTTTTGAGGATGCTTCAGATCCAACACCAACAAGGGCAAACCTAAAAGATGTTTAAAGGGGCAAAGACAGAAAGTGAGGAGGGATTAACAAAGCTACTGTTATTAAAAAGGAAATGGTATGAATTTACCTTTAAGAAAAATGAAAATTTTCTTTAAGATAAAACTATACAAGTTCACACTTTCATCCTTAGCTTTTTCAAAATAACAACCTACCATACAATTCACTCAATTAAAATGTACAATAAGTGTATATTCAGAGTTTTAGAACGATCACCACAATTTTAGAGCGTTTTCATCATCTCAAAATGAAAGCCCATACTCATTAGCTGTGACTCCATTTCCTCCCAACCCCCAACTTTAGGAAAGCACTAATTCACTTTCTATCTCTATGAATTTATCGATTTTGAACATTTCATATACATGAAATTATACAATATGTGGTCCTTTATGAATAGCTTTTTTCACTTAACATAATGGCTTTAAAATTTATGCATGTTGTAGTATGTATCATTACTCAATGTCTTTTCATGGCTGAATAGTATTTCACAATATGGATACAACACATTTAAAAAAATCCATTCATTAGCTGATGGACATTTGGGTTGTTTCCATTTCTTGGTTATTATGAATAATGCCACTGTGCAAACATGCTCAACATCACTGGCCATAAGGGTAATGTCAATCAAAAACCACAATGAGATGCCATTTCATACCCACTAGGATGGCTATAATCAATAAGATAAACAGTGCTGTTGAAGATGTAGAGAAACTGAAAATTTCATACACTACTAACGGGAATGTAAAATGGTACGGTCACTTTGACAAATAATCTGACAATTCCTTCAAAGGCTAAATATAGACTTAACATAGGGGCGCCTGGGTGGCTTAGTCGGTTAAGCGTCGACTTTGGCTCAGGTCACAATCTCACAGTTCGTGAGTTCGAGCCCCGTGTCTGGCTCTGTGCTGACAGCTTGGAGCCTGCTTCAGATTCTGTGTCTCCCTCTCTCTCTCTCTGCCCTTCCCCTGCCCATGTTCTGTCTCTCTCAAAAATAAAATAAACATTAAAAAAATTAAAGAGATATATATATATTTATGTGTCTTTATACATATACTTACATACATACTTATATAATACATATATACGTATATATAATATATACAGTTAACATATAATCCAATAATTCCACTACTGGTATATATATACACCTACCAGAATTGGAATACATATGTTCATATAAAACTGGTACAAGAATATTCACAGGGGCATTATTCACAAAAGCAAACGTGGAAACAACCTCAATGCCCATCAGATGATGGATGGAATAAAAATGTGATATAACCATATAATGGAATAGTATTTAGCCATAAAAAGAATTAAGTACTGATACATGCTGAGACATGGCTGAATCTTGAAAACATTATGCTAAGTGAAAGAAGTCACAAAGGACCACGTATTATATTATTCTATTTCTATTTATAGAAAATATTCGGAATAAGCAAACTCAGAGACAAATTGTTAATGGGTATGGGATTTCTTCTGAGGGTCATGAAATGTTCTGGAATTAGTGATAACTGTAAATATACTAAAAATCATCAGATTGAATATTTTTACAATTTAATGAATTTATTAATTTAACAAATATGTATTGAGCACCAACTCCTACATGCCAGGCACAATCCAGGGCTAGGGATACAAGAGTGAACAAAACAAAATCCTTCCTCTTGTGGAGCTTACAATCTAATTGGAGACAAGACAAATAAGTAAAATACACTATAATAAAGAAAAATAAAGAAAGGAAATAAACTGGGGATAAAATTTCAATTTTATCTGCTCCTACCCTGTAATGATATGAGCAGAAGCTAATATTTTGCATAGGGTGATGAGGGAAGGGAATTCTTTCAGGAGAGTCCTTAATGAAGTGAAAGAGGGGTGCCTGGGTGGCTCAGTTGGTTAAGCATCTGACCCTTGATTTCAGTTCAGGTCATGATCTCATGGTCTTGAGACTGAGTCCTGCGTTGGGCTCTACACTGAGTTCGTGGAGCCTGCTTTGGATTCTTTCTCAAAATAAGTAAACAAACATATTAAAAAAAAAAAAAAGAAAGAAAGAGATCCATGTGGATATTTAGAGGATATAACAAACCAAAAATAAGAAACAACTGGTGTAAAACTCCTAAGCAGGAGTGTTTTTGAGGAACAGCATAGACAAACATTGCTGAAACAGCATAAGGAAGGTGAACAGTGGTAGGAATAAGGTCAGGCAGGTGGTGGGGAAACAGATCACATAGTGCCTTATAGGGCCACAGTTAAGATTCTGGCTTTTACTCTTAGTGATAGAGAGCCATTAGAAGATCTGAAAAGGCAATTATTGATGGCACTTTTTTCCAATATTTACATTTTGTAATAGCATAAGCCATAGGGGATTTGGGGTGAAAGCAAGAACACAGGTAGGAGGCTATTACAAAAGTTCAAGTAAGAGATAATAACGGCTTGGGCCAGGTAAAATAATTACTGTAACACACAAGGTATGACGGAAAGAAGACATAAGAGAGGATGTGCATTTATGGATAAGTACGTTTAACTCATTTTACCAAACATGTTCTAAAACCTGTGAATTGTAATCCTGTTCCTTCTTTTTCCACTAAAAATATAAGCACGAGGAAAAAAACCTGCAAGTATATTCACTAAAATATTAAGAGTGATTACCTATGGATGGTGAGCTTGTAGCTTTTTATTTTCCTACTTCTGGGTATCTGTTTTTTATAATATTCCTATAATGATCCTATCTCATTCATATAATTTAATAAGTTTAAAAAACTGAGCAAAACATTTACGTTACATTATTTTCCAGCTGCCCATCTTTCTCCATCCCTTAATCACAGGATAATAATGCTTCTTCAAACTGTCATTTCAAAAGTCATTTCAACCACAGAGAAAACTCAGGAAAATTAAATAGACCTAATCTGTCCACACTTCCAGTTTCACTAGTTTTAGTGAGCTAGATCACAAGGTAAGTAAAATAAGTACATATCTCTGCCCAAGAACCCTCTGCCAATGTGGATAATAAAGCGTGTGAATGGTTAACATTAAGAATAGCTACTACCAAAATTATAATCTCTAGTTACTAACGTATTAGGAAAAAAAATGAAAACAAGATTCTTACCCTTTTGACTGGCCATTTGCCCGATTTTCAAAAAATTTTATCTCCAAAATATCATTTACTCCCAAAGAATGAACTGCTTCAGTTAAGTCTTCATCTGTTGTCCACTGCAAGATATTTCCCCCTCATTAACCATCAAAATATAACCAAGATGTTTATTGTTTCAATTTAGTTTTTAAGGGTAAACTCAGAACAAACAAAAGACCATTAACAGTGCAAATCTAAGTGCAATTTTGCCAGTTGGTCTCCAATTTTTAAATGACACAAAAGCACCTGAGGACATTAACTTCATCCTTTGATAAGTTTCAGAAATTAGAAGGTATATATCCTTAGAGATAAAAGACTTTTTTCACTTTTAAAGGATTTCTGGTCTCTCCCAACTTCAAACTGCTATGACGTTACATTTTTAATAAAACCAATCTCACTTATCACTTCTCTCCCTAAAGGAAAATTACTTTGGGAAACAAAGTCCACCTTATGTTTGAGTATAAGATTTAAAAAAAAAAAAAAAAAAAAAAAAAAAAAAAAAAAAAAAAAAGGCACATGTATTGAGTACCTATCATGTACTTTATACCAGATATTTAACTCTTAAAACCCTATATTAAGTCCTGTTAGTATTCCCATTTCACACATGGTACAAAAGTTAAAAGGCTTGTCTAAGATCACAAAAGTAATAAATGGAGGAGCTAAGGTTCAGTTTTATTTAGCAATCACACTCCTCACAACTACACTGCTACAGTCTCCAATATTATAAAATTGCTCAGACTGAATGATTACAGAGATGGGTTCATTTTTTAAAAATGTGAACATTTAAAAATAAAATGCTACTTAAGAAGGGTGACAAATGTTAATTTATAGACGATTTTTGAACTTTCAAATTATGCAGTAAATGTTTCTAAGAGAGATGAGGGGAGCCTGGCTGGTTCAGGTCATGATCTCGCCATTCCCAAGTTCGAGTCCCATGTTGGGCTCAGTGCTGACAGCTCAGAGGCTGGAGCCTGTTTTCAGATTCTCTGTCTCCCTCTTTCTCTGCCCCTCCCCTGCTCACGCACACACACGCACACTCTCTCTCAAAAATAAACAAACATTAAAAGCAGGAAAGAAACTCAACAAGCCTGAAATATAAATTAGATGCTGAAAACTTTTTTTTTTAAAGTAATCTCTCCACTCAACATGGGGCTCAAACTCACAACCCCAAAATCAAGAGTCGCACGCCCTTCCAACTGAGCCAACCAGGAGACCCTAATAATGAAAGCTTTTAAAAACCAGGGTCGTACTGTGCTTTTCCCTACAGTTCTGAATCCTGGTTTCAGACCTTATGTGAGTATTCTAGGATACTGTAAGTATAGTAGTAATAGGTTAAAAAGAATATTACATTTAAACTCAAGATAACTGAACTATATTTAACTGGAATCTCTACCAAAACAAGTTGAATGACCACAAAATTCAAAACTAGATCTAAAATTTATAATGTTCTAGGGGCACCTGGGTGGCTCAGTCAGTTGAGCATCACTTCGGCTCAGGTCACGATCTCGTGGTTTGTGAGTTTGAGCCCCACATCAGGCTCACTGCTGTCAGATTGTAAGTGCAGAGCCCACTTCAGATCCTCTGTCCCTCTCTCTGTGCACCACCCCGGCCTGCATTCTCCTAAAAATAAATAAATATTAAAAAAAAA